AGCTCTGAGCCCTGTAGAGTGAGCACATTACAAGAAATCGTATGATTTATGGGAACAGAAAAATATTTTCTAGGAATGGTCTTCTAATGTTGGTAGAACACATATGAATAAATGCAGAATTTCTTATTTTACTCATGCTGTTTTCTTTCACAGGAATTCCAAAAAAGAACTAAATGATATTCGATTTGAATTTACTCCTGGGAGAGGTGAGGCTTCAAAAAGATTGAAAACAAAATTACTTCTAATTTGTTAATTAATTAACTAAGCTTTGTTTTTATTTTTTAATTTTTTTTTTCATTTTTCTTTTATTATTCATATGTGCATACAAGGCTTGGTTCATTTCTCCCTCCTGCCCCCACCCCCTCCCTTACCACCCACTCCCCCCCCTCCTCTCCCCCCCCAATACCAGCAGAAACTATTTGCCCTTATTCTTAATTTTGTTGTAGAGAGAGTATAAGCAATAATAGGAAGAACAAGGGTTTTCTGTTGAGATAAGGATAGCTATACAGGGCATTGACTCACATTGATTTCCTGTGTGTGTGTTACCTCTAGGTTAATTCTTGATCTAACCTTTTCTCTAGTCCTGGTCCCCTTTTCCTATTGGCCTCAGTTGCTTTAAGGTATCTGCTTTAGTTTCTCTGCGTTAAAGGGCAACAAATGCTAGCTAGTTTTTTTAGGTGTCTTACCTATCCTCACCTCCCTTGTGTGCTCTCGCTTTTATCATGTGCTCATAGTCCAATCCCTTGTTTGTGTTTGCCCTTGATCTAATGTCCACATATGAGGGAGAACATACGATTTTGGTCTTTTGGCCAGGCTAACCTCACTCAGAATGATGTTCTCCAATTCCATCCATTTACCAGGAATGATAACATTTCGTTCTTTCTTCATGGCTGCATAAAATTCCATTGTGTATAGATACCACATTTTCTTAATCCATTCGTCAGGTGGGGCATCTTGGCTGTTTCCATAACTTGGCTATTGTGAATAGTGCGCAATAAACATGGTGTGCAGGTGCCTCTGGAGTAACAGTCTTTTGGGTATATCCCCAAGAGTGGTATTGTGGATCAAATGGTAAGATCATGTCCAGCTTTTTAAGTAGCCTCCAAATTTTTTTCCAGAGTGGTTGTACTAGTCTACATTCCCACCAACAGTGAAGAGGGTCCTTTTCCCCGCATCCTCGCCAACACCTGTTGTTGGTGGTGTTGCTGATGATGGCTATTCTAACAGGGGTGAGGTGGAATCTTAGTGGTTTTAATTTGCATTTCCTTTATTGCTAGAGATGGTGAGCATTTTTTCATGTGTTTTTTGGCCATTTGAATTTCTTCTTTTGAGAAAGTTCTGTTTAGTTCACTTGCCCATTTCTTATGGTTCATTAGTTTTGGGAGAATTTAGTTTTTTAAGTTCCCTGTATATATTCTGGTTATCAGTCCTTTGTCTGATGTATAGCTGGCAATATTTTTCTCCACTCTGTGGGTGTCTCTTCAGTTTAGAGACCATTTCTTTTGATGAACAGAAGCTTTTAGTTTTATGAGTCCCATTTATCTATGCTATCTCTTAGTTGCTGTGCTGCTGGGGTTCATTGAAAAGTTCTTACCTATACCTACTAACTCCAGAGTATTTCCTACTCTTTCTGTATCAACTTAGAGTTTGTGGTCTGATATTAAGATCCTTGATCCATTTTGGAGTTAATCTGGTATAGGGTGAATACTGGATCTAGTTCAGTTTTTTGCAGACTGCTAACCAGTTTCCCAGCAGTTTTTGTTGAAGAGGCTGCTATTTCTCCATGTATATTTTAGCTCCTTTGTCAAAGATAAGTTGGTTATAGTTGTGTGGCTCATATCTGGTCCTCTATTCTGTTCCACTGGTCTTCATGTCTGTTTTTGTGCCAGTACCATGCTGTTTTTATTGTTATTGGCTTTGTAATATAGTTGTGAAGTCAGGTATTGTGATACCTCCTGCATTGTTCTTTTGACTGAGTATTGCCTTGGCTATTCTGGCCTTTGTGTTTCCATATAAATTTAACAGTAGATTTTTCAATCTCTTTAATGAATGTCATTGGAATTTTGATGGGAATTGCATTAAACATGTAGATTACTTTTGGGAGTATGACATTTTTACTATTTTGATTCTACCAATCCATGAGCATGGAGATCTCTCCACTTTCTATAGTCTTCCTCATCTCTTTCTTCAGAAGTTTATAGTTTTCCTTGTAGAGGTCTTTCAACATCTTTGTTAGTTTACACTAGGTATTTGATTTTTTTTGAGGCTATTGTAAATGAATTGTTTTCATACATTCTTTTCCAGTTTGCTCATTGTTAGTGTATAGAAATGCTAATGATTTTTCTATGTTGATTTTATATCCTGCTACCTTGCTATAGTATTGATGATGTCTAGAAGCTTTGAGTAAGTTTTTTGGGTCTTTAATGGTATAGGATCATCAATCTGCAAATAGGGTATTTGACAGTTTCTTTACCTATTTGTATTCCTTTTATTCCTTCTTCTTGCCTAATTGCTCTGGCTAGGAATTCCAGTACTATGTTGAATAGGAGTGGAGATAGTGGGCATCCTTGTCTAGTTCCTGATTTAGGGAATGGTTTCATTTTTCTCTTAAGTTAATGCTGGCTGTAGGTTTGTCATATATAGCTTTTATAATGTTGAGTACTTTCCTTCTATTCCTAGTTTCTTTAGAGCTTTTATCATGAAATGTGTTGGATCTTATCAAAGGCTTTTTCTGCATCTATTGAGATGATCAAGTGGTTTTTGTCTTTGCTTCTGTTAATGTGGTTTATTATGTTTATTGATTTTCGTTGTTGAACCACCCTGCATTCCTGGGATGAAGCCTACTTGGTCTGGTGAATAATCTTTTTGATGTGTTGTTGAATTCGGTTTGCCATTATTTTGTTGAGGATTTTTGCATCAATGTTCATTAAGGAGATGCCTATAGTTCTCCTTTTTGGAGGTGTCTTTTGCCTGGTTTTGGATAAGTGTAATACTGCTTCATAAATGTGTTTAGGCAGTTTTCCTTCCCTTTCTATTCAATGGAACAGTTTTAAGGAGGGTTGTATCAGTTCTTCTTTAAAGTCTGATAAGAATTCAGCAGAGAATCCATCGTCCTGACTTTTCTTTTTGGGAGACTCTTGATTGCTGCTTCAATTTCATTTTGTTATAGTCTATTCAGGTGATTAATTCCTCTGGTTCAGTTTTGGATGATCAATGTATCTAGAAATCTGTCCATTTCTTTTAAGATTTTCAAATTTATTTGAATATAGTTCTCAAAGTAGTCTTCTGATGATTTCCTGACTTCCATGGTGTTTGTTGTTACTCCCCTTTTGCATTCCTATTCTACTAATTTGGTTTTTTCTCTCCTCATTTTAGTCAGTTGCCAGGGTCTATCATTCTTGTTTATTTTTTTCAAAGAACCAACTTTTTTTTCATTAATTCTTTGTATGGTTTTTTTGGTTTCTATTTCGTTGATTCAGCTCTTATTTTATTATTTCTCTCCTTTATTTGTTTTGGATTTGCTTGTTCTTGTTTTTCTAGGAGTTTGAATGTATCATTAGGTCATTGATTTGGGATCTTTCAATCTTTTTAATATATGCACTCATGGCTATAAACTTTCCTCTCAGACTGCCTTAGCTGTGTCCCATAGGTTCCGGTTAGGTTGTGTTTTCATTTTCATTGACTTCCAGAACTTTTTAATTTCCTCTTTTATTTCATCAATCCATTGTCATTAAGTAATGAGTTATTTAGTTTCCAGCTGTTTGCATGTTTTTTGTCTTACTTTTGTTGTTGAGTTCTACTTTTACTGCATTGTGGTCAGATAGTATGCAGTATATTTCTATTTTTCTTATATTTGCTGAGGCTTGCTTTGTGCCCTAGGATATGATCTATTTTGGAGAAGGTTCCATGGGCTGCTGAGAAGAATGTATATTGTGTAGAGGTTGGATGAAATGTTCTGTAGACATCTACTAGGTCCACTTGATCTATTGCATATTTTAGATCTTGGATTTCTTTATTGAGTTTTTGTTTGGATGACCTATCTATTGATGATAATGGAGTGTTAAAGTCTCCCACAACACTGTGTTGGCGTTTATATTGCTTTTAGGTCTTTCAGGGTATGTTTGATGAAATTGGGTGCTTGACATTGGTGCATACAGATGATGTTATTATTTCCTTTTGGTCTATTTCCCCTTTTATTAGTATGGAATGTCCTTCTTTATCTCGTTGATCAATGTAGGTTTGAAGTCTACTTTGTCAGAGATAAGTATTGCTACTCCTGCTTGTTTTCGGGGGCCATTGGCTTGGTAAATCTTCTTCCAGCTTTCATCCAAGCATATGCTTATTTCTGTCGTGAGATGAGTCTCCTGTAAGCAACAAATTGTTGGATCTTCTTTTTTAATCCATTTTGTCAAACGGTTCTTTTGATGGGTGAATTAAGTCCATTAACATTAAGCGTTAGTACTGATAGGTATGTGGTGATTCCTGTCATTTAGTTGTCTTAGTTTTTGAAGGTTTGATTGTGTGTACCTAACTTGATGTTACTCTCTACTGTCTTGCTTTTTCTTATCCTGTGGTTTGGTGCTGCCTGCCTTTTCATGGTTAAGTTGGGTTTTCTGTGTGCAGATCCCTTGCAGAATCTTTTTAATGGTGGCTTTGTGGTCACATATTGTTTTAGTTTCTCTTATCATGGAAGACTTTTATTGCTCCATCTATTTTGAATGATAGCTTTGCTGGGTAGAGTATCCTGGGTTGAAGTTATTTTCATTCAGTGCCGGAAGATCTCACCCCACGCTCTTCTTGCTTTTAATGTTTCTGTTGAGAAGTCTGCTGTGATTTTGATGGGTTTACCTTTGTATGTACTTGTTTTTTCTCTCTTACAGCCTTCAATATTCTTTCCTTATTTCTGAACTTGTTGTTTTAATGATGATATGTTCGTGGAGTAGTTCTATTTTGATCTGGTCTGTTTTGGTGTCCTGGAGGCCTCTTGCATTGTATGGGAATATCTTTCTCTAGATTTTGGGAAATTTTCCGTTATTATTTTGTGAATATATTATGCATTCCCTTCGCTTGCACCTCTTCTCCTTCTTCGATGCCCATGATTCTCAAGTTTGGTCTTTTGATGGAGTGTGAGTTCTTGCATTTTCTTTTCACAGGTCTTGAGTTGTTTAATTAATAGTTCGGTTTTCCTTTAATTACCATTTCATCTTCAAGTTCTGAGATTCTGTCTTCTGTTTGTTCTATTCTGCTGGATTGGCCTTCCGTTTGTTTTGCAGTTCTGTTTCATTCTTTTTTCTGAGGTTTTCCATATCCTGGCAGTTTTCTTCTTTATTGTTGTCTATTTTTGTCCTGAGTTCATTATCCATTTATTCATTGTTTCTCTCTTTCACTTTGGTGTTTATACAGTGCTTCTATGGTTTCCTTTATTTCTTCTTTTGCTTTTTCAAATTCTCTATTTTTTGTCTTGGAATTTCTTGAGTGTCTCCTGTACATTTTGGTTGACCCTTCCAGTATCATTCTATAAAATTCTCATTGAGTACTTGTAGTATGTCTTCTTTTAAATTATTCTTGTGGGCTTCATTGGGTCCTTTGGCATAGTTTATCTTCATTTTTTTGGAGTCTGGATCTGAGTTTCTGTTTCTTCATTCCCCTCTGGTTCCTGTACTAATTTTTTTGCTGTGGGGAAACTGGTTTCCCTGTTTTCTGTCTTCCCGTCATTGTCTTGGTGTTGTTACTGTCCCTGTACTGTGTGTGCAATTAAGTATTTTCTAGCTTGTAATAAAACAATGGTAATATTTAGAATGGAAGGGTGAGCTGAGATGGAAAGCAAGAAGTTAAAGAAAAGGGGAAAACAAATATACAGACAAGAGGGAGAAAGCAGAACAAGGTATCAGACAAGAGAGTTTCAAAGGTATAAACAGGGAGTGTTAGTGTACTAATCGACAGTAAGCTGAACAGACATTAGAGAGACAGAGAGAGGATTGAAAATAAAAGATAAAAAAATAAAAAATAAGTAAATGAAAGAAATATCTATATATAAAAATGAATTAAAATAAAATGGAAAATAGAAAATTAAAAAAAAAAAACAAAAAACTTCCAAGTTTATATGCAATGCAGTTTCAGTCTTAATAATTTGGGTGTCCGTCTCATCTCCAGTCCTGGAGTTGGTGCCTCAGATGTTGTTCTGTAGTTGTCTCATCAAAGGGATGCATAAAGTAGAACAAAACACACACACACACACACACACACACACACACATCACACACACACACAAACCCCACCAAGTGTCCCAGTTCAAATGCAATACAGTTTCAGTAAGTTTTTCGCTTGCAGGTGTAATTCGGTTGTTCTCTCATCAAAGGTAGGGAGAAAAAGAAAAAAAAGCAGTCTGGAGACAGTTCTGAGAGTGGGATCTGCAACTGTGGCTTGCCTGCCTGCTGCTCTCAGCCTGTAGCTGGCGGCGTTATTTATGCAGATCTCTGGGGTGAGCTAGCACTCACCTGGTCCCACAGGCTTTGTTTGCTCAGAGTTCTCCTGTGCGGGAGCCTCTGCTACAGGCTTTCCCCTTTCCAAGCACTGGGAAAGGTGACACTGCCCCGCATTGTCAGGCCTGCATGTTTATTTACAGTTCATGTGGGAGGTGGGTCTTCCCCCCTCTCCTCTGAAGTTTTCCTCCCACTGCCACTTTCAGAAGCTTTCCTGCTCCTGCTTACTGGGCGGTGCTGCTGCTCCTGCCGGCCGCCATGTTTGTTTACAGTTCACGTGGAAAGTGGGTCTTCCCTCCTCTCACAAGCTTCCCTGCTTCTGGTTGCTGGCGGTGCCCTCTCCCGCCAGAGGCCTCTGGCCGCCGGCTTGTTTATTACAGTCCCGGAAGGATTCCCTTCCCCCAATCTTCAGCGCTCAGGGCGCCCCACCCTCTTTCCAGCGTGTCTTAACTGTTCTTATTGCTTATTACTCAGTTTCTTTTTTTTTCCCGGTGGAGGTCAGTCTGTCCAGGGGCTATGCTGCTCTGGCCCAGGCTTGTCTGTGGGCTACTGCGGTACGCGAAGCTCACCTGGTCCGCGTTCTTCCCAAGCCGTTGGCGCTCGGCCACTGCGGCCCCGGGGGCCCTCCTCATTTCTCCGTTTAACGTGAAGTGGAGATTCTCTGCACCGGCTGGAGATGTGGAGGGGTCAAAGTTTATGCCTTTTCTCGAGTATTATGCCTGCAAAGTGTGTTCTCCAGTGTCTCTCCAAGATTTCACTATAGGAGGGCGCTTTCTGCTTCCTACCTCTAGCCGCCTCTGATCCCTCTTCTCTAAGTTTTGTTTTTAAATTTGATAAAAATTTCCTAGTTTAGGTTTTGGGAAACATGAATAAAATAAAACCGCACTTTGCTTACTGATAACTTCATTTAGAGTAGCTAGTGTAATAATAAGAATAGTAATGTATATTGTTCTTATTTACTGCCTAGTATTGGTCATGCATTGTGCTAAGCATTATCTCTAAATTCTTACAGCAGTCTCCTAAGGAAAAATTATTATTCCCATTTAACAAATGATGAAATCAGGGGCAAGAGAAAAGGCAAAATAACTTGTTAATGATCATATAACCAGAAAGAGGTTGCTGGACTTCAAACAAGATCTGAGTCCAAAAGTTCTTGCTCTTTATCTTATCACTGTACATGCCTGTTCTGTGATACTAATAAGGAAACAAGACCACCAGTCTCTTTTCTCCTCAAACAGAAGCTGAACCTTGTCATGTACTGTTTATGATTATGAACTTCACCCTGGAACATAGCTTGTTTTTTTCTTGCCTTTGGTACTCAGGGTACTGATTTGGGGTGTGGACAGCAGATATCTTTCCTTAGGCTCCACAGTTGCTCTTCCTGCTGTCTCAGGGTCAGCAGCTGACAATTCAGGAGCACAGATGCAAACATACAGAGGATTTGTATTTTTCTTTTTTAGAGCCAGGCAAAGTCACATTTTCAGGAATCCTAACTGCTGGCTATCTGTGTGGCTTTGTGCATACCCCTCTGCACTGGGTTTTGTTCTATGGGGCTTAGTGTCCAGTCCTTGGGAACCAGTAGCACTGAGTCATTTGAAGATGAAATTTGTTGGAGGATAGTCTATCCTCAGGTCTTTTTAGTTTCTGGTTACATCAGTTGCTCAGATTATACACCTAGGATGATTAGGTAAGAAAACCTACCAGAATAAAAAAGAAAATGACTTTAGCGAAAAACGTGAAATGATCCCCCAAAAGAAGAGAGTACAATTTTTTTCTCACAATTTGAGCATAAAATTTCAATTTTACTAGCACAGGGGGTGTTCTACATCCAATGTCCTGTCTGAGTTCAGAGAGCTCAAGTCCAGAGTTGTGCTCAAAAGTAGGAATTTCCTCTGTAGTTATCACCGTTGGGTGCTCTCTTGACATAGACCTGAACCCTCCACATTATACCATTTAGAAAGTTATGTCTACCTTGATCTGTTATTTGCCATCTGGTTCATATACATTCTGCCATCTAGCCAACCTGTGAGAATTATCTCCTCACCTGAGATAATCCTCAGTAGAGGACGACCCTACTTTGCCTTCTTAGTTCTATGGGTTTAAGCTAGCTTTGGTCTGGCAGTACTGCTACCTGTCCTGGCTCTGAGAGCAGTGACATATATACACAAGAAATGGAGTACTTTTTCTTTCTCTTTGCAGATACAGCGGAGGGTGTCTCTCAGGAGCTCATTTCTGCTGGCCTGGTCGATGGAAGGGATTTAGTAATCGGTAACTACATTGCACTCTGCCCTTGTGCACCATCTCTCTGTCTGTATATTTAGTATCTAGAAAATCAGCTTTATTTCACTGAGTACCTCTGATGGTTCTCAAAATGGTTCTTGACTTTGTTGAAATTGTAGGTACTAAGGAAACCAAAACCTATCCCACTTCTGTGTTTGCTTTGTGACCTCTGATGGTTGTAGATGAGGTCTACTACTTAGGTCTCTGAAACACTAGTAGAAGTGATAGCAGAAATCGTAAGTTAGCAGGTGCTTGGCAATTTTTAGGTTTTTGTTTGTTTTTTTTTGGTTTTGTTTTATGTTTTTTGTTTGGTTTTTTGGTATATCTAGTCTTTGTGGATTACAGAATTGAGCAGACATTAGAGATTTAGTCCTAGAAAAAGCATAAAGGAAAGCAAAAGGCACAGGCAGGCCATAGGTACATATTACTGATGGGACAGACCATCAGTTTAGGTAGGACAACAAAGTTTTCCTGTGAAAGAGCAGGTGGTGGACAGTTTTGTAGGCCATGCTATTGTCTTTTTTTTTTTTTTTTTTTTTTGAGATAGGGTCTCACTCCATAGGCCAGGCTAGCCTTGAACACATGATCGTCTTGCCTTGGCTGCCTCCCAAGTACTAGAATTACAGTTGTGTGCCACCATACTTTGCTTTGTAGTTTCCGTCATTTTTAAAACATTCTTAGTTTGCAGGCAGAATTAAAGCAGGCCACAGGACATACTTTGTTTGCTAATACTTTGGGGCTTTCTGGTGCACATAACAGACAAATCATACCTTTTGCCCAACTGTCTTTTCTAGGTTAGTTAACTCATTGCAAAGAAAGTTAATTTTATAATGATTCAGGATCTACTTGTATAGCTGGGAGGTAAATTTAAATGATACTTTCCTTTGAGAAACAATTGTTTGATTTTTGCTTCCATTTTGATTACACATGGAAGATTCTTAACCATTGTCTAAGCTTTTTAAATATGGCTGAAAGTGGATTTACATTGCTTTCTCTGTTTATATGATTACAGTGGCAGCTAATTTGCAGAAAATTGTGGAAGAACCTCAGTCAAATCGATCTGTCACTTTCAAACTGGTATTTATCTCTTTCTCCTCATTAAACTCTCTTACATTTTACACACCAGCAGCCTCTCCAGACCAGCTTTTATATTCCCTGAACGATGAGATTTAAAATATGGTGGATTGTGTTCATTTAGCTTCCCCAAGGCCCTGGGCTGATGTCTGCCCTTAAGATGGCCTCCCATCTTTTCTCCCTCTCAGAAGCCTACAACCCTAAGTCCTTAACTATGCTCAAGAGAAATTATAAGGCATCTAGCTGTACATACAGTCCAGATATTTTCTGGAAGAAACAGCCTCATTGGTCTCCTGTTTGTATCCCAGGGACCTTTTTCCCACTGCTTCCTTTCCACAGGCCCATACCAGTTTTAATTTCTACCCGCAGTTTTGTTTATAAATAACTACAGCTTCTTATTTTGTTTGGTTCTTAGGCATCTGGTGTTGAAGGCTCAGATATTCCTGATGATGGCAAACTAATAGGATTTGCCCAGCTCAGCATCAGCTAAACCACAGCCCTGAAAGAGGCGGCCTAAGGAGATTCGACACATGCGTATCTCTGTTGCTTGTATTGGCCTAAACCCACTACTGCCAAAGAACCCAGCAACAAACCTACCGGCTAGGAGCTTTAGAGTTTTTTTCTTTATGTTCTTCCTGCCATCATTTCCCCTTTTTCCCACAGGGAAAGAAAAGTTGAATCACCAGTGGCCAGCATCCCCTCAAAGAGTTCCGTTAGTAAATGTGTTGCACCTGTCCCCTATCGTCGTCCATCTGAGAAGTGGCCTATGTGCCTCGCTGCCCAGCAGGGAGATCTCTCAGCTCATTCTTGCCTTACTCCAGTGATAGCCCAGGTGGAAAATTGCAGCTATATTGGGCGTCCTCATCTTGCCTGTTCTCCCACATCTGCCAGGATTTGGACATCTTGGGATATCTCTTTACCACTGAAGTAGCAATTAAAAGTTGATTGTTCAGCTGGAACCCAGAGAATTTAATTAGTGTTTTTTCTTTGTACCCAGTGTGAATTCTAGCAACCTTTGTTAGGAAAAAAGCACAGCCTCATGTGGAGGCAGCCTAAATGGTGTTTTTATTTTGTTCATGTTGTCTCTTAAGTGTTTTGCTGAAGCTGCTCTCAGGCACCCCCTTCTTCATTGCTCCCTCTAGAAAGGGTTGCTAGCCTTAACTTCAGCTGGTGCAAAACATCTGACTAGTCAAACTTCAGCCATCAGATTCTTCAAAGAGGAACTTTGAACTGTTTTTGCAGAAAACATCAAGTAATGGCTTATAAAAGTAAATTTCGCCAGAGGTAGTTTTTGAACAGAAAAAAACAAAATTGTAAGTCATGTCATTGGGGAAGTATTTATTTTCAAATTTTAAAAAGTTAAATTGAAGAAAAACTATCCCCTTGATCCTCCCACAGAAATCAATTCACTTGGCCTCTAAGTCTTGAGGAAGTGGTATACAAGGCTGAGATTTCTACAGCAATAAAGGAGACTCACAATGGGCCAGAGGTCTGCCTTCTGCCCCTCTCCTGCACTGACTCATTGGAGGGGGTCTCTTCGTGCTGAACCTAA